CCCCCCCCCCCCCCCCCCAGAGCAGAAGGAAGAAAGTGAGTGAGGAGAAGAAAATAAGGAAAAGAAAGATCAATATGTAACTACTGGTATAGTTGTAGTACTGATCATACCTTATGTACTTGGAAGAGAATATCACTAAATCCTTGGGAAACTGTAAGCGAATCCGTCCAACTGGTCTGTTTTTTACATGATATATACACAATCAAATGGCTTTGTTCTTATGAGTATTATTTTTCATATCAATATTGACTGAGTTTGCTGTTTGAGGTTATTGTTTGAAACTAACACTTGAGCAGGAAGAGGCTGAAAAGAGAGTATAAGGCTTCCTCCAGACTAAAGATTTAAGCAGGGTTTTTACAAGAAATACAAGCTTGTACTGAATAATGAGAAAGTTTCTGTGGAACTCACATGTACCAAAAGTTACAGTTGAAACCAAACTTTGCTTCTTCTTCTTCTTCTTCTTCCTGTTACCATACAAGAAGCCATAATATCATAGGCAAGAGGAGTTCCAGCTTGCGTCGACTGCTCTGATTATTTTGTCATGAAGGCTGGCTCCAGCGCAAGCGATGACTCCTCGGTCGAGGCCTTCCAAATACATACCTTTCGAGAAGTTGAGTGGACGGCCTCTTGCATCTGTGACTACACCACCAGCTTCTTGTATGATAACCACACCGGCTGCATGATCCCATATCTTCTCCTTGTAACCAGCCCTTGCAAACTTCATGAAGATTTCAGCATCACCACGAGCTATGGCTGCATATTTCACCATGCTGTACACTCTCAATGGTTGGTTCCTACACTCAAAACACGACATGTTATCGTTTTCTTTTAGCTTAAGCTTAACTCAGACCCCTTGAAATGCCTAAACAGAATAGAAAATCATATCTACCTAAGTCCAACGCTATGAGCAAGCCCTGCAGTGAATGAATGGCTTGAATTTGCTTTCTCAACTGGTTCACAGAATGTAGCCAATGCTGGATCATCAATGGTGGACACTTGAATTGGTATAGCAGAGTTAGGCCATACCAATTTCTTAGTTTCATGAACCAATGGTTGCATCCAAGCCTCACCGCTACCTTTCTGGGCATAAATCACACAACCTTTGTCCCAAGAATCTGATGTTGCAGCTGATAATTTGGTTATGATTCTATGGTAGCGAGGATGGTAACATAGCCATTCCTTCCTCATTGGGTAATTAGGACACCCCAGAACCCCCAGCACCACTTCTCCATCTTCTATCAATGCTAGAGCTATAGCATATTGATCCCCACGTATAAACCCCAAGGTGCCATCCACAGGGTCAAGTGTCCAAAATTTTCCAGTAGACCCGCCGGAAGAGTTGCATCGGCCGATGGCTTCAAGAACCTCGGAAGAACAGAGGGTTCTTTCTGGATTTTCCAATCCAAAACGATGTGCCTCACCAAGACACTCATTTACAGTTTCCACAACAGCTTTCAACAATCGGTCTGCCCCAGGCTTGGAAAGAGTCTGAACATCCTCCTCAGCAACAATTGATACATTTTTACTTCCAAAAGATTTTGACAGAATCCAGCTGATAATTGCCTGAACGCTCCAATCTGTTCGAGAAAAAATCCCAATACTAGAACGCTATATATGTCTACCAACAAAAAGGATGAACGCAACGCAATAGACAATCGAAACCCATTTCTTAAATGGACAAATAAAGCACAAAGAAGAGAAAACAATGAAATTACCAGCTACAGTAACAGGGGAATTGTCATCTTTGGCTTGAATTTGGGCATTCTTCTTAAGCAAGTTGCTCTGAACTCTTTGACAAAGAAAGCAAGCCATCTGAACAGCTCCGACGGCGACTTTAAGTTCTTGAGAAAGTGATTCCGACCCAGAAACCAAAGGACCGACCCTTTTCTGGTCTTCCATTATGGACGAAGATGAAGAAACAGACGAATACGTTCGATTAGGGGAAGAAGTATGGATGTGGGTGGAAGGGAAGAAGAAGGAACATTTAAAACCTGCATAGTTGGGTAAGGAACTACTGCTCCTTCCGCTCAAACCGAACCCATGTGGAAGTTTAGCAGCCAAATTTGCAGTATATAAGGGCATAATAGCAGTGGATTGTAGAGATTGGTGACGTTTCAAGTTGGAAGGGGGAGGAATTGAAAAAGAGGGAAAAACGCAAAGGAAAAGGACGGATTGAAGGAGACGGTAAGATGAGTTTAATGGGTTAGGTACTTATAGTTTCATACTTCACCTCTTTAATGGCTAATATTGCAGAGCTTTATTGGAAGAACAGAGAAATTCCCGACGAATTAGTGTGATCCGTTCCCATGAACGCTCAATTGGAAACACACAACCCACCTTCAACATGCAACTCTTACATCATGCTTACCCTAATAATTTTTTCTTTTTTTAATTGAATTGAAGCTTAAAAAAACAAATTTTGCAACCGAATTTCCATATGAATTAAGGATCGTTTGACACTGGATTCTACCTCGGTTGAAGAAAGAAATAAAACATTCATTAGAGACGTCCCTCCCCAATCAACGTGTGATCTCACAATTCACCCATTAGTAGCCTATCTGGCACATATAGTCTACTAGAAAGAGTTTTTCACGTCATTGTAAGAAATGTTTAATTCTTCTCTTTAAGTGATGTAATATGTTCTTCCCTCTCCAACTCAGGTGGGATTTGAAAAGCTCTAAAAAAAAAAATTCTATCATAGGTCATATGTAATTTATGTTACCCACCAAATCTACTGTAACATGTTTATACTACAAACCAAAATTAGGAGTGCTTGTCATATATCGAAGAATTTTTTTACGGTAATTAAATGAGCTTCACATGACTTGTCTATAATATGAGCAACAACATCAATAGAACAAGAGATGTAATTAAACTACCAACAAGTAGTAGAAAAAGATCGATTTTGACACGTATGATCAATAATCAAAAGAACCAATAAACTCGTTGAATGAATATACATGTCACGATGTGAACCCACAAAATATAAGATATTAATCAATCTTATCATCATACAATGTCTTCTCAAAACATCACACATAAATTGAAATTCGTAGAAACAAAATTATAAAGTTGTTCAATAAAAATGTCACGATCCAATCCTCAAAAAAGGAAGTTATTCTTCGCATCTATTGTCATAATTTTCGACCTTTCCAAGTCATTCATTCAATAATGGTGAAGATAAAAATAAAATAAAAAATTAAAAGTGTATATAATAAAAGATTATACAGCATAAATTCGCGGTTCTAATAAAAACAAAATAGAATAAATACTATTTTCTTTTTTTGGAAAGAGATATATTTTTAATTTTAAAATTAAAAAGAATAAAAAGAATAAAAAATTGTTATCCTTGAATATAATAAGTGGATGGAAATGCCCATCACTCAAATCTTTTCGAAATATCTTTTATAAAATTCCTTCCTTAAATAAAAAATAACTCAATCAAATATCTTTAAATACTCAACTGATATAAATTAAAATGATTGGATTAATATATTTATGAGTTATTTTTTATTATTATAAATGAATTATAAGGTACTTAATAGAATTAATTAATAAAAAGATGTTGGTACGCTTTTAACCCTTTTTGGCTTATGTTATGATTACATCGGAAGAACATCACTCCCTTCTTTTCATGGTGTTTTATTTATCCTAAAGTTCATAACGTATTTTAATAAAGGAATATACAGATTGAAACAACAAAGAACTCGAGAGATCCCAAAGATACATCATAATTTACACTAACTCTAGTAATGGTTAGATCGAAGTAATCAACAAAGTTCTCTCCAAAACAACCTTTCTTTCACTTTCTTTATTGAAATTAAACAAATAAAAGTTTTCGGTGCTCGAAAGAATATTTATATAATTTTTTAAATTCAGTGGATATAGTAATGATTTGATTAAACTATATATTATGTTACATTATAAACTATTTAAAGTAAGGTTATGAAAATTATGAATAAATCACTATGGTCAAACTATGTGAACTATTACAATTATTGGCTAATATTAAAATGCGTTGTCAAATTAATCAAATTGAGGAGCGGAATCCTCCTTTAGGGTTTTCGGAAAAAACCCGGTTCAAAAGCATGGCCAACCGGACCCCACCTTTGGCCAATCGTTCCATTACAATTGGCAACCTTGAATCGAAGTAATCCTCTGCCGACATAAAACGACATTAATTAGGGTTTTCATTTTTTTTTTTTTTAATACAAAACTAATTTTTGTTTAAAAGTTTCTTAAAATTGATTAATGATATTATTTACTTGTTAATTACATACCTGACAAAGTCATGCCAGCTTCAACTCCTTCGTATGCCCACGTGCAAGCTAATTTTATACTCTCCTCAGCCCAACTAATTTCACACACAAAAATTAATAATAATAATAATAAGCATCCTTAAAATAAATAAATTAATTAATTAAAAAAAACATACTTGTTTATGCATGAATTAACATTAACACAACGCTCCCATGTCGGAACATCATCGCTCCAAATTCCCTACCAAAATTGAAACTTAATATTAAAAAAATAAAAACTTAAAATTTATTTTGTGGTAATTGATGAAAAATAATTGTATTAATTAATAATTACATGGGTTAAATTCCTTTGT